TGGATGGATGGATGGATGGATGGATGGATGGATGGATGGATGGATGGATGGATGGATGACCAAAAAGGCTTCAGCTTAGTCATTTCTCAACATGTAATGACTTTTGTCTGAAACCGGAACAAATGATTCAGTCTTCGACTCACCCTCGTTACAATCTACACAATAATGCAGTCTGCTTTTGACATCGTCCAGTCGGATTTGTTCCATCTTAAACTTGTGCTAAATGCTGACAAAACCAAAGGGTGTTATTTTCAAACAGGAAGTCGGTTTCAGTAATCCTTCCTCTATTTTATCTTTGAATGATGTTCTTATTGAGTTTGTCGATTCTTACAAATACTTCTAACCTTGGTCGATTCGCATCTCTTAAGCCCCACGTGTAAAACTTGATAAAGAAACTGAAAGTTAAACTGGGTGTAAACTGGCCTTTAGTGTTGAAACTGTTTTTTTTTTGTGCACTATTCTTTCTTGCATATTACTTCTGAGTGTCTTCTGTCTCAGAAAGAGTCCACTTCATAATGGTTTCACTCACTTAATAAAGGGTATAGAAAACATGCAGTTCCACTTTAAGCCGCACATTTTAAATCCACTTATTTGTTTTTTTCTGTGGAATATAGCTCAGATCTAAAAGTTTTGGTCACGCTGGAAAACTATAGACTCCAGGTTTACTAATAGCGGGTTACGAGTATTATCTAAAGCAAGAACCACTGTCAGTGTAGCCTATGAGGTTTTTCTGAAGCCATAAAAAATACCTAGTAGTACCAGACGAGGTCTTCTGTTCAGTACTACGGTACTCTGGAATCCTGACATGCTGGTGCACGCTGAACCCAACTGGTTGCTTTCGTTTCTCCTTTTTTGCTTAATTTTCCTCTTTAAGTGAGGTCCAGGTGAGGATACAGATGCTCCACTCACTGATTTCTTTTTCTAGGCAACATCTGAGTGCAAGACTCTCATCGGAGGAGTTTTTGTTTTGCATAGACGAGTTATTTTTAACAAGTCTTTATTACAAGGCAAAACTCATCAATAGAACATAAATGAACATTTTCATCAAAGGAGCATCATACTTTGTCAAAACAGCTATTCTACCAACCAGTGTCCTTTTATTCCACAAACTTCAAAATATTTTTCTGGGATTTTATGTACAGTAATAGACCGACACAAAGTAGAGGATAGTTGTGAAGTGGAAGACAAACTTGCATGGATTTCAAAAAAATGTTAAAAAATAAAAAGTATGGCTGGCATTTGTTTTAAGCTTTTTTGAGTCAATACTTTGTAGAACCGTCTTTTGGTGCAATTCTAGCCGCAAGTCTTTTAGGGTTCGTCTATTCCACCTTTGTACACATTTGTGCATTTTATCCCAAGCTGCAGCTCAGTCGGAACGGATGTGAGCGTCAGTGAACAGGGCACAGGTTCTCAGTTGGATTCTGGTCTGGACTTTGTCTGGTCCATTCTAACACGTAAATATGTTATGATCTGACTGTAGTTCTGTCTGGACGTTTCAGGTTGTTGTCCAGCAGGATGTAGAACTTCTGACCCAAGCTCAAGTCTTTTACAGCTTCTAGGTTTTCTTTCAGGATCAGGACTATCCTGTTTTTAGCTCTGTCCATTTTAATATAAACGTTGACCAGCTTCCTGGTCCCTGCTGAAGAAAAGCGTCCCCACAGCGTGATGCTGTATGTTTCACATGGTGTGTTCAGGGCACCTTGCACTAACAGTGTTTCTGCCTCATTGGCCCAGAAAGATCAGCTTCAGTCTTATCTGAGCAGAACACCTTCCTCCACGTTTATTGTGTCTCTAGATGGCTCGTCAGACTAAACTTCTTCATTTTGGTAGGTTTCCAGTTGTGTCAAACTCTTTATGTTCAGATAACTGATTCAACATAGTGGCACGGAACTGTTGACTCTCTGTGAGAAGGTTGCTGGTTCCAATCCAGGCCGGGGGGCCTTTCTGGGTGGCGTTTGCTTCTTCTCTCCGTGCATGAGTGGGTTTTCTTCGGGTACTCCGGTTTCCACCCACAGACCAAAAACATGCACGTTAGGCTGAAGGTGAATGTTTGTCTCATCCGTCTCTGTGTCCCTGTGATGGACTGGAGACCTGTCCAGGGTGTCCCCCGCCTCTCGCACAGTGATTGCTGGACACCAGTGACCCCCTTGACCCGAAAAGGAAGAAGCGGGTAAAGATTATGGATGGATGGATAGATGGATGATTCAACAGAGCTTCAGGAGATGAAACAACTTAATCCCTGACCTGTCTGGTGCGTTCCTTGGGCTTCATGGTGCTGTTTGATCACTAATGTCCAGTAAAATAGGTCTGAGGCTCACAGAACAGCTGGATTTACAATAAGATTAAATTACACACAGGGGGACGTTGTTGTCTAACTAGCTGACTTCTAAAAGGACCTTAATGCACACCACACTTAGACTTTTGTTTATATAAAATAGGACAACCATGTATTTTTCTTCCACTTCTTTATCATTCCATTTTGTGTTGGTCCATCACATATTCTCAGTAAAATACGTCCAGATGACCTGACTGAACTTTGTTGGATTTTTTCCCCTGGATTATTAAGCATTAACTTTGATCTCAGTAAAACACTTTTGAAGTTTATGGTTGTAACACAACAAAATGCTCAGTGGAAGTTCAGTGGATGTAAATAAATTTTCAGTGGGCTGTAAAGTCTGATTTCATGTCTCTTCTCCAGCTGCAGCTGCATATGCAAGAAGCTGAAGATGAAATCGAAGTGAGCTGGAGAGTGTCACATCTGGACACAGAGACCCTGCAGCTCAGGCCACTTTTCACACAGGTAAAAGCTGATGTAACCTGAGGAAGAAACGTTTTTTTTTTATTATTATTATTTTCATTATCAATAATGCCTTTGAATTTTAGGTGTGTGATGTGATTTGAAATCAGGACCCACAGAAAAGTTAATGCAAGTAGCTGTTTGTCACTTGTGGGTGAATATTTGTACTTGTAGTTCTCATCTTATAAAAAAAAACCAATTGATAAATGGTTTCTACCATTATTTGGGTAGCTAGACTGTAGGGGTGTGTATTTGAGTATGTGATTTTGTACTCAGCTATCACTATACAGATGTCACAGCCCTACACATACAAGTAGACCAAGACCATGTTTAACGGTGATCACCACTTTCAACTAGAAAAGAGCGCATGTGCATTAAATTACATTTTACTGTCCGCAATAACCGAGAAAGATTAGAGGAAGCTACCATAACTGAAGTCACCTGAAGTGCTCAAGAACAAAAGATAAGCACGAATGATACAGTCCAATGAAACACAGGAGCCTTAAGATCCGTCTGTTTCAAAGCACCTGTATAGAAAAGTTTTGAATTCCCAATAATTCAATTCAGTTCAGTTTATTTATATAGCGCCAGGTCACAACAGAAGTCATCTCTGGGCACTGAACAGAAACATCCATATACATAAAAAAACAATTAGTTAAAGTTCTCCATCTAAGGAAGCCAGCAGCTGTGTTGGATCTTCACATCGACACAGTCTCCCAAACTGAGCAAGCACAAAGGAGACAGTGGAAAGAAAAAACTCCCTTTAACAGGAAGAAACCTCCAGCACAACCAGGCTCAGGACAAGCGGTCATCTGCTTCGACCGGCTGGTTTGAGAGGAACAGGAAGGAGAAACAACCTAACACAGAAGGGCAGGTCCAGATGTAGGTGCAGGTGCAGGTGCAGGTGCAGGTGCAGGTGTAGGTGCAGGTGCAGGTGCAGGTGTAGGTGCAGGTGTAGGTGCAGGTGTACCTCCTACTGGAAGAAAGACAAAGACACATGTTGAGATAAAAATAATTTCAAATACAAAACAGGTTGAGCAGAGTGAAGAAATGTGGTCAGTTTGTCCTCCAGCAGTCTTAAGCCTATACCAGCATAACTAAGGGACAGCTCAGGAAACCCAAGCCAACCCTAACCATAGGATTGATCAAAAAGGAAAGTCTTCAAACTGGACAATGTGTCAGCCTCATGGACAGAAACTGGAAGTTGGTTCCACAAGAGAGGAGCCTGAGAACTGAAAGATCTTCCTCCCATTCTACATTTGGAAACTCTAGGAACCACAAGTAAACCTGCAGCCTGAGAGTGAAGTGCTCTGTTAGGAAACTATGGAACAATAAGATCTGTAATATAAGATGGAGCTAGGTTGTTGAGAGCTTTGTAGGTTAGAAGTAAGATTTTGAATTCAGTTCTGGATTTGACAGAGAGCCAATGGAGAGAAGCTAAAACTGGAGAGAGATGATCTCTCCATTAAAACTCTAAATAAAAATAATGTTTTTCAGCAGCGGAGAGCGACAGGTCGAGTATGGAAAGCCAAAAGGGTCATAATTTCTGTGCTGTAAAAGGCCCTCAGTCTTTGGATATTACTAAGTGATAAATCCTACCTTACTATGACATGAAGCATTTGTTTCAAAACGCTTATTTAAAAAAACAACAAAGTGTAAATATGAAAGAGGAAGTTTTGTTTAACGTCTTGAAATAATTGTCATTTTGTGACCCGGTGTGAGTGGAGCAGATGTGATACTGTCGTCTCTCCAGCAGGACGTCACCAGCACCTGCAGTGCAGCAGCTATGAAGCAGCAGCTGAAGCAGCTCCTGTGTGCAACGCGTCCGTCTGTCCTGCTGAGCTACAGGCCTGCTCAGGCCTCGGAGGTCCAGGTGAGTCACAGGACTCATCCGAGGCTGCTGGTCCTGCTCGTGCTTGGATCGGTGTCATCTTGTTCGGTTTGAGGGCAGAGTTCATCTCAGGGTGGTTGTAAAGTTGTGTTTACTTCAGTAACGCTAGTATAAAATATAACTGCAGACCAAACGGGGACATTATTATTCTGCTCTTATGATAAGAAACACTTTCATACAGGAACCATTTGATTAGTAGATGGTGAAAAGAAGAGCACGGAGTGATGTGTAACAATTTGCTTTTTGCCTCACCTCCTTGGTTTTAAGAAAAATGTTGTTACGTTAAAGTTTTACCGTTAGTTAATCAGTTAGGAAGTTTAAATCTGATCAGTGTTCATTAACAGGGTGTTCAGATCTTCAGATGTTTTTAAATCGAGTAAATCAACCATTTGATTGTCTGTAAAATAAGTTAAGTTCAGGAAGTATCCAGATTCCCTTTGCTTTATGTTGCAGTTTGATGCTACAGTCATTTAAAACCTTTGCTGCTCAGTCATCGACACCCAGTACCCCAAAAAGTGAAAGCAGATTTGGAAAAAGTTACAGTTTTTAAACGTGTAGTTTTGTGAGCGTTCAGTCGCACTGTTTAAAAAAGAACAACTTTCAGCTTCTCATTGGATGTAACAAACTTTGCGCACTTGGTTCGGGCGAACACTTTTTCCATTCTTCTTTTAGAAATCCTCTCAAACTCAGTCTGGTCGGATGAAGACTGTGGAGCCGTTTTCAGGTTCAGCTCCGACTGGCTCACTTTAACTCCCACAGAGAAGTCCCTAAAGCTGTGACGGCATTCATGAGGGAGTCTGCTGAACTTCTTGCAGTGAACGTCCGGTCCCTAACTTCTTTACGAGTCTTTTGTTTGGAACATGTTCAAAATGTGTGCAGGTCCTCTGATGGAAAACATGAGCAGCGCAGACAGATACTACCTTAAGCAACTTTTGTGTTGTCTTCTCCGTCTGCTTTGGGTTGGAAGGTAAACATTCTGCCCACCCGGAGGTCCTGAGTCTCGTGGAACAGGTTTTTATTCAGAGTATTTTTGTGTTTTGCTCCATCCAATTTTTTTATTTTCTAATAAATTTATTGAAATGTGTAAAACGTTTTACTTTATTGTGAGGTGCCGAGAGCAGATTAATGAGAAAACGAATCTAAAGCATCAGCCTGCAACATAAGACGGGGCAAAGACAGTGAGTGGGGTCTGAATATTTTCTGAACCCACTGTATTTATGTATTTGTATTTACGTAATACCCACTGTTCTCATCCTGAACGTTTCACTGCATTGTTGACCTTGTGTTAACCTGCATATGACAAATAAACAACATCTTTGTTTGTAATGCAAATGTTCCAACAAATTTGCATCAGAAGTACTTGAATTTAAAATTTACATGTTATCATAAGTTCAATGCAAATCACAAACAAGAGGAGTCTGTAAACAGGCTTGTTCAGAACAGATGTCACATTCGTCTTTAAACCACTTGTGTGTGGATATGAACACATTCAATGTCACACACACACACACACACACACACACACTCACACACAGACAGACAGACGTTTGGTTTCTCTGAGACAGACCTGTGATTGCTTCGTTAGTCGTGTTTGTTAAAATTCTTACGTTATTGGTGTCTCGTGGTTTCTTTTGTAGGAAGCCCAGAACAAAGGGGTGTCGCCCCCAAAGCCCCCCCGCGCCCACGACTGGAAGCTGCTTGTAAAAAACATGCGGGTCTTGTTCAGTCGGGAGGAAGATGCTGCAGGTGGGTCTGCAAACTTACCGACAGGTTCAACCAGATCTGATGCAAAGCTGAAATGTTGTGTAGTGAACATCAGCCACAGTGTTTGACTGAGACATTTGTATTGTATTCATCTCTCTTACCTTGCAGCTTGTACGTTTCCCAGAACGTTAATGTTTCCCACAGTCAGTTTAACCTGACTGTTGTTTACTTTGCCAACAAGGACGGAGAGGATTTCTTTGTATTCTAGCAGTTTCAGATAAACATTGCTTGCATTGTGTGGCAGTAACTTTACACCCAGGGTGACACCACACCCAGGCTGGGGAGGATTAGGAGAAACGTTCTCCCAATGTGTTAAAATGTGTTGGGAGAGTTCTTAATGGTTAATATTTACACAAGTATGTTGAAGCTGCTGTCTACTCGTTAAAACTTTAGGCATCAAAAGAGATTTAAGACTCTTTGAAGTTGGATTAAGTGGAAACGTTATGAACAGTTAGTGTCTTACATGTTGTACATGGTGCTGAGCAATCTCTTTGGCAAAATTACCTGATTACCTGGGATTACCTGTCTAAATAAAGGTTGAATGAAAAAAAAATAGTTGACTTCAGAAAGAACTGATGAGCCAATGGCTAGTCGAAATGCAACCCAGACCAGGGAAGCATTCTACCGTCTTTAACTGCTACAGTAAAAAAAAAAAAAAGATGTCCCAGCAGTTCATATTTATGTTTTATCAACATTTCCACTGCTATTACCATATTTTCCAGCCTATAAGTCGCATCAGTCCAAAAATGTCAAATAATTTGGAAAAAAATCCATAAATACAGTGCCTTGTGAAAGTATTCGTCCCTTGAACTTTTCAACCTTTTGCCACATTTCAGGCTTCAAACATAAATATATAAAATATTAATTTTTTGTGAAGAATCAACAACAAGTGGGACACAATCGTGAAGTGGAATGAAATGTATTGGATGTGTCAAACTTTTTTAACAAATAAAAAACTGAAAAGTGGGGCGTGCACTATTATTGGGCCCCTTTACTTTCAGAGCAGCAAACTCAAGGCTCCAGTATACTCCCGCGTACGTCCGTTCACGCGTACGTACACGTGTACTGTACGCAGAGGGTTCAGTTGTCATACTCCAGCGTACACCAAATTCCTCCATTTCTCACCATTTCAGTCATGACATCAACGGAGGAGGAAGAGATCACTGCCTCTTGGCAAAAACACAAAAGAAAAGGCCAGATCAGAGATGAAGAAGGGGAATTTAATACATTGGTGTCGCATACAAAACAGTCCCCGTCGCTGGGCAGTTTAATGTGCGACACCGCGTATGCGGTCGTAAAAATTTTAGCTTTGCACGGAGGGTACGCTGGGTGGTACGCACGTACCTCTGCGTATGTACGTGCGTACCTCTGCGTATGTACGTGTGTACCTCTGCGTATGGATGTACGCAGCAGTATACTGGGGGCTTCACTCCAGAAGTTCAGTGAGGATCTATGAATGATCCAATGTTGTCCCAAATGACTGATGATGATAAATAGAATCCACCTGTGTGTAATCAAGTCTCCGTATAAATGCACCTGCTCTGTGATAGTCTCAGGGTTCTGTTCAAAGCTCAGAGAGCATCATGAAGACCAAGGAACACGCCAGGCAGGTCCCAGATACTGTTGTGGAGAAGTTTAAAGCCGGATTTGGATACAAAAAGATTTCCCAAGCTTTAAACATCCCAAGGAGCACTGTGCAAGCAATCATATTGAAATGGAAGGAGTATCAGACCACTCAGACCAAGTCAAAGTCCAGACCTGAATCCAATCGAGAATCTGTGGAAAGAGCTGAAGACTGCTGTTCACAAACGCTCTCCATCCATCCTCACTGAGCTCCAGCTGTTCTGCAGGAAGAATGGGCAGAACTTCAGTGTCTCCATGTTCAAAACTGATGGAGACAAACCCCAAGAGACTTGCAGCTGGAACTGCAGCTGGAACTGCAGCAAGAGGCGGAGCTACAAAGTATTAACGCAAGGGGGCCCAATAATACTGCACGCCCCACTTTTCAGTTTTTTATTTGTTAAAAAAGTTTGACACATCCAATAAATTTCATTCCACTTCACGATTGCGTCCCACTTGTTGTTGATTCTTAACAAAAAATTAAAATTTTATATCTTTATGTTTGAAGCCTGAAATGTGGCAAAAGGTTGAAAAGTTCAAGGGGGCCCAATACTTTCACAAGGCACTGTATGTCGCTTCGCCATACACCTCTGAAAACCTGGAAATGTGGGCCGGTGTTGTGCCAAAAATAGATGGGCTGCCAAATGGCAGCTGTGATAGCGTGCACGGGAGGACTTTAACAGGAATTTAAGAAGATTAACACTTAAAAACAATTATTTGTTTGATTGAAATTATAGTAAAGGTGTGTCTCAGTTGAACTTTTACTTAATAAATGCACTTCAATGGTCAAATCAGCTGCATTTCGTCGGGGCGGCGCAGCGAAATGAAGCTGATTTGACGGTTGCTCCAGGTGAGCTGGATGAAGGTGGGAGACTACGGCAAGCCGAGTGTGTCATTAATAGCCACTTTTACCTACTACATGATAGAACGGCATGCCATACTACTTGATTGCCATCTAGCGACTGTAAATGGTAGTGTTGGATATTTCCAGTCCGAATGAATGAAAACGGTCAAATCTCAGCCAAAAATTAGTTTAAAAATATGGGAAAAATCTAAAAATACGTTGCTTCTGCGTATAAGTCGCAGGGCATGTAAATTAGGCAAAAAGGTGCGACTTATAGGCCAGAAATTATGGTAGTTTCATGTTGCGTCAATATTTAAATGGAATTTGTGATTCTGCTGTAGCTGTAGCAGCTTGCTGTAACGCTTCCAGTGTAGCACGGGTCCAAACAATCAAATTAGGAATGCATTTCTGTTTGGACAAGACATTATTATGTTGTGAGCCAGAAAGGCAGGAAATAATAAACACCGAAAATAAATGCAGTTTACAATAATATTTATTTTCACATAAATAAGGGGTTTCCCTTTAAACTTTTATCCATGTGCGGTTGACTAAATCACATTCAACCTGAATTTGAAACGCCTCTGCACTGCAACCCAAATAATGCATTTAATCTGAAACAGCAACGGTAACAATCCAAGCAGGATCGGGCTTCAGGTTTAAAGTTAACAGCGGCAAAGAATATTCAGTTTTAGGAGGTGACCCTGTGATACGGGACATTTAAAGCTGTTTGTCGCCCTCACATGCACTAAAGAGAAAACGATCAATAAGCTGGGCGGACTAACACAAGAAAAATCTAACTCTAAGAAGGACAGCAGGTAACGGTGATAATCTGTAAAAACACAAGACACCAGGTTACTGAATACAATCATTTTGATCAGATCAATCTCTAAAAACAATTTAAAAATCACTGCACACCTGTAGCGTCTAATAAGACAACACTCGGTCACGGCAAATCCAGAAAAGCGTCGACGAGTGTGGCCTTGTCAGACAAAATAAAATGTAAACAAAACCACGTAATATAATTTAAAAACCCACAAGCCTACCTGTGGCGTCGAACTACCCCACGCCCGGGCAGTCCCGCTTCAATCTCCGCTTTGTTAGAACTGTGTGGTCCTGTTGTAAAAATATACACAGCACGCATCAGAATAGATCAACTGTTTAAAAACAATCAATACCTTAAAAACAGTTTTCCTCCAAACCTACCACAGTCACATGCACCACAGCGCGCATGATCCCAGCACACACCTGGCCACTCACAGGAAACTGCACCCTCCCGTCACCACCGCCAACTTCCCTTTTCTAGAGGCTTAGACCACAGGGACACCCTGCGGTGCCACCTGTTGCATTTAGTCAGTCTACTTCCAGAGGGGATTGTGTCGTCAAAAACAACTCCCGTCTTCAAAATGTTTTCGTAGTTCAAGCAAGCTTCCATACATTTACGCACTAATCAACTTCACGTTTCATGGTTATCGTGGTAAAAATGGTGTCCCGGTACATGTGCTGAAAATGTCCACAGACCGCAGTGGAAGTATCTGAAAGTAGCTGCAGTTATTTGTGCTCATAGTTAATTATAGACATCTATTCAAATGTCTGTATAATTTATGGTGGCATGAAGGTCAGTGGTATAAATATATAAGTATATAAATATATAAATATATAAATAATGATATTGAAAGCAGTCTGATTGAGGTATAGTCTCCTTCTGTATGTAAAACTTTCTCGTCTTGCCCACAACTTCTGATCGGTTCAGGATAACTTCGTGGAGCTTCATATACAGATGCAGCATCGCTGGACGGAGAGTTGCATACACTTTTCCTCGCCCCAGTTCCATTGTCAAGGTCACAAATCAAGGTCAACGTTCAAACAAGCTCTTTGCTTGTCCGGACCACACCTTCTAATCTCCTCAAGATAAATTAACAGAGCGTGAGATGAATCTTTACCTCCACTGGGCAGCGTGTAGCGTATTCTTTTCATCACCCCAGCTCCAAGGTCAAAGGTTATATGAGGTCTTGCCTGTTGAGGCCATTGCTATAAATTGCTGTTGTGCTGTGTAATAGTTCGTCGACGGGTGTGTGTGGCGCTCTTGTCTGTTTTGACTGTATTCCTCCAAGTGTTCAAAGAGCTGTCTACTGCAAGTAAACTATTTTTTTAACTTCTTCGCAGAATCCCTCTTAACAATAGCTACAGTAACCCTTTGCCATTATGCTCTACAGTTGACTCTTGATAATTAATGTGATGAGCCGTTCAACAGTAACCGGTGCTTCAGTACTACAGCTGATATAAATATCAAATTTAAACTTGTTTGAAATCTCTTGAGTAAAAACAGGACCAGTTTTGTTTGTTCTGTATTTGTTGTTTTTATTCTCATTGAACTTTTTCTGCCTTGATCTTTTCCGTTTGCTGGCTCACTTGTTTCAGATGTTCGAGCAGGATTCCCTGTGGGTGACGCTGCTCGTCCGTTTTCTTGTGAAAGTGACTGTGGTGTGTGCTGTGTGTGCAGGCAGCATGGATCCTCTGTGCGTTCTGCAGCTAAATGACCCCCCTCAGAAGTTTAACACCTCCGTTCTGAAGAGCACGACCAGTCCTGCCTGGGACCAGCCTTTTGTCTTGTAAGATGAGCAACAATCAGCCGTCACAGGAAATGCAGGACTGACTTGTTTGTTTACACTCTCATGCTTGTTCACCAGCGAACTGAATGGACGATCAAAAGAGCTTAGTGTCCAGTTGATAAATGATGGAAAACCTCCAGAAAGTAAGTTCATCTCAGAATGGTGTTTATTTCAACAGCAGTGAAATAAAATTATTGTAGGTTTTGACCCTAAAATAACCAGTTGCACTTTCTTCTTCTTCAGGTTCTTTATTAGGTCAGCTGCGTGTGCCTTTAGATCTCGTAAAGAAGCATCCCAAGGGACAACGAACATTTGCACTCAGGACCAGAGATACAGTGGCTGGATCACTGACTGCAGAGGTAGGACCATCAGCCTGACCACCTGTGACAACATCAACCGCTTGGACAGAGCATTGTTTTGGATTTAAAAATATACTTAAGGAGATTTTTTTACTTTCAAAGTTTACCTACCTGGAACCCAGTGAGGTGAGGTCCTGGCACCCTCCCACTCCTGCTGCCAAAAAGAAGGTGGAAATGGACCGTACGGTGATGCCCTGCGGGACGGTGGTCACCACCATCACTGCGGTGAAGAGCAAGCCAGGACGACCACTCCCACTCAACCACACGGGTACAACACCATGAGACCACGCAAGCTAAAATACATGTCATAATCTATGAGATATGTCATAATCTGTGAGATATATGTCATAATCTGTGAGATATATCATAATCTGTGATATATATGTCATAATCTGTGAGATATATCATAATCTGTGAGATATATGTCATAATCTATTAGATATATATGTCATAATCTGTGAGATATGTCATAATCTGTGAGATATGTCATAATCTGTGAGATATATGTCATAATCTATGAGATATGTCATAATCTGAGATATATGTCATAATCTGTGAGATATGTCATAATCTGTGATATATATGTCAATCTGTGAGATATATGTCATAATCTGTGAGATATGTCATAATCTGTGAGATATATGTCATAATCTATTAGATATATG